AACATGTTGGTGGGTGCGTGCAATCTGAGCTACTCAGGGGGATGAGGCAGGAGAATTGCTTGAATCCGGGAAGCAGAGGATGCAGTGAGCTGAGATTGTACCACTGTCCTCCAGCTTAGGAGACAGAATGGAATTCTGTCTCAAAAAACAACAACAAAGAATACTAGAATACCTAGTTCAAACCATGAATTGGAAAATAACACTTCTCAATCGAACTTCTTATTTCGTGATGAAATAGTTCATAAGACCAACAGATGACCAGTGGGACCTAGGTAACTAGTCTGTAGATGGTATCTAGAGATAATCAGGAATACTGATTGAAGTCAGAAAACAGAAAAGGACATTCTTCACAAATTTAAATTCTTATTTCCTGTTGAAATAAAGAGTACCATAGATACATAGTGGCATCTATATAGAATTAAACATAGATAACTAGAGATAACTGGAATAGCTAGTCAGTCAGAAAGCTGAAAATCATGATAATCTCATGTCTATATTCTTATTTCCTTGTTGGAATAATGAATTAATTGAAGAGCTATCCAGTGGGATCTAGGTAATTTGTAAACTAGAGGTAGCCAGAGAAAACCAGAAAAACAAGTTGCACTTTCCAAGCTAAAAAAAAAAAAACAAAAAAAAAAAAACAAAAAACTTCCTCTCATTCTAAATTAATGTTTCATCTTGGATTGAAATGTTAATACTGTCGACAATAGTAATACCTAAGTAACAGCTTTATTAGAGTTAACTAAAAGTGACTAAGAAATCTCGGGAGACTTCGACACATTTTTCTCACATTAATTTCTTATTGCTTATTGGAAAAATGAGTTAATACTAGAGATACCTGTGGATAACTTGATAACTACTTAAACGCAGGCATAAAGCAATCATGGCTTGAAGCCAGAGAATGCAAAACCAATCTTTTCTCACATCCAAATTCTTGTATCTTATTGAATTAATGAGTTAGCCCAATAGGTAATTTGTCACATCTTGTTAACTAGATATAACTAGATATACTGATTTAAATTTAGAATTTTAAGAAACCCATCCTTCTTACATTTAAATGTTTGTATCTTTTGTAATATGAAAGTAGTGCTATAGACATAGCTATCTATGTAAGACTTATGTAAAGATAACTAGATATTACTAGAACCAGACTGAGCATGTGAAGGTTGGATGCTGTCAAACACGTTTTCCTCAAATTCAACTTCATAATTCTTATTTTAAAAAATTTGTTATAATATAGGTAATATGTGGTTCCTAGACAAGTACTTACTTAGAGATTTTGGAAATAAGTAGAAAAATACCTGAATCTAGGATGTTGAAAAACATATTATTTTTATATCCAAATTTAATTTCTTTTTGAAATAAGGTATTGGAAATATAGATAACTCATGGTAGTTATGTACTTTTTAAAAATTAGAAATACCTAGAATTAGCTAGAAAGCTACTTAAAGCTCTAAAGCTGAAAACTCCATGCTTTTTATCTCTAAATATCCATTTTTGTATTTCCTTTTGAAACGTGGATGTAATATTAAAAATATCTAGAATACTAAGGTAAACTTTATATTTTTTTTTTTTTTGAGAAAGGATCTCACTCTGTTACCCAGGCTGGAGTACAATGGCACCAACATGGTTCACTGTAACCTCAAACTTCCTGACTCAATTGATCCTTCTGCTTTAGGCTCCCATGCAGCTATAACTAAAGTCATACACCACCATGCCTGGCTGATTATTTATTCATGTATTTATTTTTTTGGTAGAAATGAGGTCTTACTATGTTGCTCAGGCTGATCTGGAACTCCTGGTCTCAAGCAATCCTCCCACTTATGCCTTCCAGAGCACTGGGTTGACAGGCATGAGCCACTGCACCCAGCCTCTAAGGTAAGCTTTATATAAAGGTAACTAACTAGACATAACACAGCCCGGGCAACATAGTGAGAACTTATCTGCACCAAAAATTTAAAAATGAGCCAGATGTGGTGGTGTGAGCCTGTAGTCCCAGCTACTCAGGAGGCAGAGGCGGGAGGGTCAATTGAGCCTGGGAGTTAGAGGCTGCAGTGAGCTATGATGGGCTCACTGTACTCCAGCCTGGGCGACAGAGTGAAGCATGTCAAAGGTAAATTAATAATAATAATAAAAGATACAACCTGAAGGACTGGTTGAAGGCAGAAAGCTAAAGAACACATTTTTCTCAGTCTAACTTCTTATCAGTGAAGGAATATGTTAGCAACATAGATGACTAGTGTTACCTACATAACTACTTATAGAGAAATAACTGGAAATAACTAGAAAATTTATTGAAGCCAGGATGTTGAAAAACATTTTTCTGAAGTGCAACTTCTTATTTCCTCTTGAAGTAAAGTACTGGAAAGGTAGATAAGTAGTGGTACAGAGATATATCTAGAAATAACTGGAAAATACTCTGTCCAAAAAAGAACAACCAAAAAGCTATATTTCTCCACTCTATATTTTTTGAATGCTGTTACTACAAATCAGTAGTGATCAAGAGGCAAATGGTTTACTATGGATAAGTAAATATGAGTGGAATAACTAGTTAAAGCTGGAGAACTAAAAAACACAACACAAACTTGTCAATTGTAAATTCTTCTTATGATTGGAATAATTAGTTACTACTATAAATGTTCGATTGGTACCCTTGTAATTATTTTCCTAGAAATAACTAGAAATAACAAGAATACCTAGTTGAAGGTAGGAAGTTGCCAATCACGTTCTTTTCAACTCTAAATTCTCTGCTGAAGAAAAGTTGGTCAATCCAGGAAGTTGAATCAATATTCTTTCTTTTCAGCACTACAGTCTGATCTATTGTGGATAGAATGAGTTAGTGCTGTAGATAACTATTTGTACCCAGGACACTAGCTAATTGGAAATATTTATTAATATGGAAGTGAAGATGACATAGGAGGCCAGCAGAACTTGTTTTCCAGTCACAAGGTCACGGCCCCCCTAATGGAAATAGAACCTGGTAAAAACAGGATGCAGTCGACAGTGGGGGCGGGGGCGGGGGGGAGGGGGGGGTGGTGGCTGGCACCTGTAATCTCAGCACTTTGGGAGGCCAAGGTGGGGGTATCACCTGAGGTCAGGAGTTCCAGACCAGCCTGGCCAACACAGTGAAACCGTGTCTCTACTGAAAAAAAAAAATACAAAAGTTAGCTCGGCATAGTGGTGGGCGCCTGTAATCCCAGCTACTCAGGGGCTGAGGCAGAAGAATCGCTTGAACCTGGGAAGCATAGGTTGCAGTGAGCCGAGATCGCACCCTTGCACTCCAGCCTGCCCAACACAGTGAGACTCCCTCAGAAAAACAAAAAACAAACAAAAAAACCCAAAAGCCAGGTTGCAGTGAAGAAGCCAGCCAAATCCAGCAGGTGGCGACAAAAGCTACCTCTAGTTGTATTCATGGCTTATTAGCATCAAGGCACTCCCAGAGTAAAGACAATTTACAGCTGTCATGGCAACGGGCCCTGGCAATAGCCAGGAAGTTATCTTGTTTTTTTCTGGAAACTCTTCGCTCCTTTTCCAGAGAGTTCTGAATAACCTGCTTCTTGATTAGCACGCAATTAAAAGTGGGTATAGGCCGGCTGCAGTAGCTCACCCCTGTAATCCCAGAACTTTGGGAGGCCGAAGCGGGAAGATCATGAGGTCAACAGATCGAGACCATCCTGGCTAACATGGTGAAACTCCGTCTCTACTAAAATACAAAAACTAGCTGGGCGTGGTGGTGCGCGCCTGTAGTCCCAGCCACTCCTTAGGCTGAGGCACGAGAATCACTTGAACCCGGGAGGGGTAGATTGCAGTGTGCCAAGATCGCTGCTGGTCTTAAACGATGCTCCCGCCAAAGCCTCAGGAGTAGTTAGGATTACGGGCCTGCACCACCCAGCCCAGAATCATCTGGAGGCACTATCTATATACCTATATGTATATATGTGTATATATATCCTATATCTATATCTATATCTATATCGAGAGAGGTACAGGGTATCACTCTGTCGGCCAGGCTGGAGTGCAGTGGTGCTATCATAGGTCACTGAACTCACACCCTGCATCATCCTGAGGCACACCTCTTGAAGTGAGAAGAAACACAGACCTCCCGATGTAACCTGGCTCTTTTTTATTTGACATTTACCAGCAAGGAGCAAAAGGTCAGAATGATAGTTCTAGGCAAAGAGTAGGAAAAGAAGAGCAGGAGGAGGACGGGGAGGGTGGCTAACATGAGGGGATGAGGAGCAAGGGAAAGTGGGAACTAACCCAAGTCCACAGCGTGCGCCCAGCACACGGAGCACCTGCGCTTCTGCAACCTAAGGCGCGGGAGTGGAGCAGAGCTTAGCAGACATTGCATGCTCCTCAGTCGCGTCTAGAGCCTGTGGAAGTGACACTTGCAGTGTAAGCCTTCTGCGAGGCACTAAACAGCAGGCAGGGTTCTACATGTGTACTCTGACTTGGAGTACTTGGAGTTTTGCAAGCGGCGGGTTAGGTTTCTTGCAGCTTGCCTCTGAGCATCCAGAGTGCTCTGCAAATCCCAGCCCCAAACTCTCCTTCAGCAGACCCCTTGGAGAGCGTGGCACACTCAACTTTTTGGCCATTGCTGCAGAAACCTAGCAAGCAGCCTCCGACCTCATCATTTCATCTTAATTACGGTCAGATTAGCGGACTTTGGGTGGGAACAGAACAGAACTAGAGAAACTCATTCATTAGTCATCAACTACCCAGTGGGGAGGGAGAGTGGTTCCGGGAGCCCACACCGCTAGGTGTACTGACTTCAGCTTGTCTGGGCTCTCCCCTGCGGAAGCTTTATTTTGGCCTGCCTGCCTGGAGGGCTGGACAGAGACGTGTTCTGCAAACTTTCTGCAAGGGCTTGGGGACTAGATTGGGTCTCGCTCCTCCTCTCCTCCTCCTGTCCCAAATAGGCATCTGCCAGACAGCTCAGCCTTTTCCTGCCGGCAGTCACTCCGCCCGGGGTGGGGGTGTATAAAGAAGCCACAAAGTGGAGCGCGGGTTCCCCACACCGCGCCTGACCAGGAGCGCGTCCCTGACTTTACGGCCACGCCCCGGCCGCGGCCGCGAGCCCTTGCCAGCAAGACTCTCTCTCTTCCCCTCTCTCCCTCCCTCCCTCCATCCATCCTGCTCTCTTCTTCCTCGATCTGTTTTCGCCTTTCCTTCTTTCCAGATGCGATGGATATAGAGACCTCAGTGACTGAAGCCAGAGAAGACGGTGAGAAGAAAGTACGGGACGAACGCGAGCACGGAGCAGGAGCAGAAAAAGAAAGTCACGTGTGCGCAGGGAGCTGCGGACCCCAAGATCAACGAGAACCAGAAGGGCAGCGGTGGTGGTCACCAGGAGCCCTGGCAGCAGCAGCCTGAGGAGTTGGCCCAGGACTCCTCCGCAGACGATCCGCGGCCTCAAGATCAGGAGCGCCTCTTCAGCCCCAGCATGTTCAGCAGGTTGCACCTGAAGGAGCCAGACAGCATTTTCTGACCTTCTCAATATGTTTGCTGGGTAAACAGCTGGCTCTGGGGGTGCCCAGTTCCCAGGACGCTAGGGCCGTTCTTGGGCGGCCTTTGGCCCTACCCCAGTCTCCTTCCCTCCCCTCCAGAGTCAAAAGTTACGTAGGGGGGTCAAGGTCACTGGCTATTTAGGGGTCCCAAGAGCACAGGGCTCAAGGACACAAGGCTAAGTTTCGGATTCCAGGCCGCTCTTGTGCTGTGGGGGTGGGGGCGATGCCTACTGGGCATCAAGGTATTTTTCCTGCAGTATAGAAACGAATCACTCTGGGAAACTTTGACCAGACTCCTGTTTTTGTAAATGTTTTATTGGAATCGCGATTGACATGGGGTGAGGAGAGTGAGTTGTACAGGGTTGGATATTCCCTTTCTTGAAAATGCGGACAATTTGGTTATTGTGGATTTTTTTCATTTGTCTTGATTTTTTAAAATATTTGCATTAAAAAATCTTAATCTTTGGGCTTGTGTGGTGACTCACTCCTGTAATCCCAGTGCTCTGGGACTCCAAGTCAGGAGGCTCACTTGAGTCCAGGCGTTCAAGACCAGCCTGAGCAATATGGTGAGACTCCATCTCTACAAAACATTTTTTTTTAATTAATTGGGCATATTTGCAGGCACCTGTAGTCCAAGCTACTCTGAAGGATCGCTTGAGCCCAGGAGTTCAATGCTTCAGTGAACTGTGATCATGCCATTGCCCTCTAGCCTGTGTGACAGACCTAGACCCTATCTGTAAAATTAGATACATAGATTAGATAGATAGATGATAGACAGAAAGATACATAGGTAGATAGATACATACATACATACATACATACCTACATAGGTAGAGACATCTTGAATCCTGAGTGTTTTAGTGCTCTCTTAAATTCTGCACACAGGCAGGTCATGGTGGCTCCCACCTGTAATCCCGGCACTTTGGGAGACTGAGGCGGGCGAATCACGAGGTCAGGAGTTCAAGACCAGCCTGGCCAACATAATGAAACCCTGTCTCTGCTAAAAATACAAAAACTAGCCAGGCATGGTGGTGGGTGCCTATAATCCCAGCTACTCAGGAGGTTGAGGCAGGAGAATCATTTCAACCCCGGAGGCGAAGGTAGTAGTGAGCTGAGATCACGCCACTGCACTCCAGCTGCTGCAACAGTGCCAGACTCTGTCTCAAAAAAAAAAAAAAAATCTGCACACAAAGGACAACCATCTCTACCTAATGCAAGCCTGGGGGTAGGTATCACAGAAAAATGTGATGGAGTGGCTGGGAGGATAGACATTTTCAATGTGTATGAAATGTTCACAGGTGTATTTCATTTCACCCACAATTCCAAATACTAAACTTTTGTTGTTTTCTTCCCCAGAAAGCAGCTGGCAATATGCATGGATGTGAGTGAAGCTGAAGTGCAAGCCAGTAAGCCTGATGAAAGCAACTGATCACAGTAGCCACTCTGAAACCAGCCTCAGTCCTTGGATACCTTTGTCCTACACATTCTCTAATTGGCCTGTTTTCGTTGCCTTTCTGTTTGTGAAGTGAGTTTTGAACTTTAGGGGGTGAAAAATAGGATACGTAAACCTTAGCTTATGGAAATTTCCCATTAACAGAGGGAATGTGCTTTCTAATGGAAAAATAAAATTAAGCAGAACTGAACTGATACTTCTATTTCCTGTACAAAATTAAGAATAAATAAAGTTCAATTCCTTCTAACAATGGTATCCTTTAGAGAACACTTTTATGTGGAATTATGTTGTGACTGAGTGTGATTGAGAAGTATGCCAATTAATGCACTCAAGAGCCAAGATGTGAGAAGTTTCAACTGTGTTTAAAATATTTAAACCAGGCTACTTTCTTAGCTAAATGACTGAATGTAGGCATTGGGGTAAGGGAATAAGTTACACACAGAGAGAGGACACTAAATGAGTAATTAATGTATGTTTAGTTTCACTGAGACTGATGGGGAGCACATAGCTTAAAAGTCCTCTTGGCTGGTGGTCCTGCTGTTGTGTTTAAGTGTCTGATGAAGCCATGTGGAACGTGGCATCCCTAAATTCTAATTTTCTGGAATACTTTGATTTGTAAGCCTGAATGCACTGCTAATATACTTGCATTACAGTGGGGGTGTGTGAGGGGGGCAGGTTTGCAAACTGGAAATTTCCCTAAAAATTAGAATAAACAAGAACTATTTTGAATAAGGTTCCACTCACCTTAGAAGACTGAAAGAGTTAATGAAGAACGTCATACACTCAAATACAAGTGCTTCTCAGCTTTCCAACCCATCCCATTGGGTTAGATGGCTGGCTAGACAGGGCTGGAGTTGAGTTTCCCCTCCCTGTGGTTGGTCAGGCTTTGGTGAAACCCAAGTTGGTTAGGCTCTGATAAAATAGTTGCCTCCCAGAGTAGTCCTTGGTTAGGGAAGGACTCTGCTTAATTTTTATCCAGAACTAACCCCCTATCTTTGGCATTCTGCTGAATTCAGGATTCAGTTTAATATGTCGCTATGCACAATGTCTGGATCATAATCAGCCTAGTGGAAGAACAGATTTGGTTATGGATACCTCAGAAGTCCAAGTCTCTATGTTAAACAAACAGTGCAAGAACCAATTTAATGCCTTTCAAAATTTCTTTCTGACTTGCTGTTGGAATTGCAGTTTTGATTTGGTGAGTAGGCCCATAGAATTAATTGATCATTCTTGGAAATATCTTCTGATTCAAATGAAGAAATAGGATAATCCTGGGTGTTTCCTGGGGTGTTGGGTTTGGGGAGCTGCGCCAGGGCCAGTCACATTGTGAGATGCCCCTCTCAGTCCTGACTTTCCCTCCTTCTTAACCAATATTTCAATCCTGTTAAGCCCCTTAAGGTGACCAACGGAGTTAAAAGGAAGGTAGGTGAGAGAGAAAAAGAAAAGACAGCCCTACTGCTTGACCTTGTGATGGGGGCTGTGGAAGGAGGTGTTAGAAACTCATTTGTATATGAACCTGAGTTCTGTTTCCTTTCTCCTATAAAGCCCAATTGACCACAGCCATCTTTTTGAGTCCCACTCAGTGGATGCCCTACTCCCATTACCACACAGCTCCCTCAAAGTGAACAGCAGCTCTGGGTTCAGTCATTCCCATGGGCTTCTCTCTCCGCTAGATTCCTCGGCTTCTTTCTCCACTTCTGATTTTAAAACATCTTTTGTTTCATCTTTTTTCCCCTTGTTCAAAAAAGAAATGGACAGAGATTCTTTTTTGCCTTCTACCTTGCTTCCATTTTTTTTTCTTAAAGGAAAATTCTTGGGCCTATGATAGGAAAAAGTCATGCTCCAAACATGCATATCTCATAGTAGCCCAAATTTTGTCTGGGTGCTGTGCTTGGGATGAGTTTAGGTAAATCAGCTATGGTGCGTATGCCTGAATGTCACCACTTCAATCTTCTGTGTCCCTTGATTGTGAAATCAAGAGTGTGTGTACGAGGCATCTTTTGTATTCCCAGAATCGAAAACACTGGCATTTAAATGTTAGGAATTCACACATTCACCTTAAGATCTATCCTTTGTCTGGCAATGGTGGCTCAGACCTGTAATTCCTGCAGTTTGGGAGGCTGAGGTAGGAATAGTGTTTGAGGCCAGGAGTTTGAGACCAGCCTGGGTAACAAAGTGAGACCCAGTCTTTACAAAAACATAATTTTGAAAATATTTACCCTTTGTATGGGGGGATCTAGCCCATTGGTGTGTAGTTGCAGTCAGGGTCCCTGCCCCACAGTTCTGTGCTGATATCTGAGAAGGCACAAGTGTGATATTGATTGAGGCAAACCAAAAGTTACATATTTCAAAATGAGTACTAATTGCATCATAGTACGCAAGCCTGTAGCCTGCTTTCTTAAAAATGTTAATTTAACACAAACACAGAACTGGCTTTTGCACTTGGGTTGTACTGTTGGTGGGCTGACTTTGCTTTGCAAAAAGATTGGGCGAAATCTTTTTGAGTCTAAGTCTCTCTTTTGAAACTTAGACTGAGTGGAAACTATTATCTGCAGCAGTATCTTTGACTATTTCCTCTGCCCCATGCATTAATTCTTCTGGAACCTGGAAGAACTAGATATGCATTAAAAATACTATATATGTCGGCGGGGCACAATGACTCACGTTCAAATGATCCCCAGAGGGTGGATCTCTTGAGCCCAGGAGTTCGAGACCAGCCTGGGCGACATGGTGATACCCCATCTCCACTAAAAGTACAAAAATCAACTGGGCACTGTGGCACATGCTTGTACTCCCAGCTACAAGGAAGGCTGACGTGGGAGGATCCCTTGAGCCTGGGAGGTGAAAGTTGCAGTGAGGTGAGATAGGGCCACTGCACTCCAGGCTGGATGACAGAGTGAAACCCCGTCTCAAAAAAAAAAAAAAAAGAAAAAAGTATATACATGTCTCTTGAAGAGTCCATCAATTATAGGAAAGGGTTTTCACTATTCCTTTCCTGAGCATGAAAAAACTGTTCTATTAGTGTGTGTCAAATTGAATGTTGGTGTTGACTGCAGGATTTCTGTAGAGTTGTTGTCTGGCTTTCAATCTCAATTTAGCAAAAGCATGTGCTCAACTGTGGACACAGGTTAGAAGAGGTCAGAACTCAGTCTAATGGTGACCTGTGGCTTAGATCCTATAGTTCTGTTTTTGAGGGTACTTACAGCATTGAGGAAGTCGACGTTTAAAAAGGACAGGTGGTAACATTGGGAAATAATAAATGTTGGTTTCAAAAGTATCTGGTGAGGATGGCAATGGACATGCACAGGTGCATTCCTAGATGTTCCCCGCTCCTGCTAGATGCTGGGGCCTCTGGGTAGTAATAACCTCCTCTCTGTATGGAAGTCCTACATTACATGCAACTGCTTTGCTGACGTTTCATATCCGCAACTGTGAAGGTTGCAGAGTGAAATAGTGGACAATACAGCAAAAAAAGCATGCTTTCCTAAGAAAACAGAGCCTCACTTTATACGAGGAACATGTAAGTGCTATGAAACTGGACTTTGATTTAACCCCCATGAGAGGAAATTCTGATGGAATCATGGCACTTATCTTAGCAATCACTTCATAGTGTAACCTTGGGGCTCCCAATTAAGCACTTTTAATAGCAAACGAGAAGTCTTGCATTGCTAGAGATGGCTCAAAAACAAAGGCTGTATTGAGAAGAACTTAATGCTTTTTAAAAAGTGGGCCTGGCCTCCTTCACCCTCCCATTGTTCTTTTCTTTGTTTTCTACTCTGGCAGTTGCACAGGAAGAAGACAGCATGAACAAATGGCTGCCTTTTCCAGTGAATCATGAGTCTGGATCACTGCTCAGGGGACGATCTCCTTGCTTCGAGTGCCAGTAACCCAAAGTCTCCCTTTCTATTTTTAATTAGCCGGAATTGGGGATCTCTTATGGATGAAGAGAGCAACAAAATACATTGGACCGCGTGATTGTCTGTTTTGAGTTGGAGAATATGTAGTAATATGCCTTCTGGGCTGGGGATGGGGGAGAAAGGGAGAACAGCCTCATTCTGGCTTTGGTGGAGTCTCCCCTCATGACTCTTCTGAAGCAGCAGGACCTTTGGGCCACAATGGCTCTTATTCCCCTGTGCCCCCCCAAAAAGTGAGGGCAGTGGACAGAATTTGGAGCATGCTGGATGAATGTGTACCTGCCACCTTCCTATAAATATTGAGTAGCCGCTTAGGAAGCTTCCCCTACAGTCCAAAGTTGGGCCTGAATGTTCCTATTAGAACAGATGGAGCTCTACTCTGTCTGAAAACACAGTTCTCTCACTAGGGACTCACCCACCTCATCTTTCATATGTGTGTGGTCCCAAAGGGTAAGAGTGAGGATGGAGTGATGGAGAGCAGAGGAGAAAACGTGTGGATCAGTAAACACATCACGAGTACCTGGAGGACTTCTCTGAAGTGCAGGGTCCGTTCATGCTGACTCAGGGAGGTCACCTCATGAAAAGAGGCCTCCTCACCATTCTGTTTCAATGTCATTCCCTTAGAAATACGCATCCATGCATTATTAACCCCATTTGACACACACACACACACTCTCTCTCTCTCTCTCTCTCACACACACACACACACACACACACACACACAAATGGGGCACTGACTTTGTGTATTCAATTTATTTAGCAGGCATTTGGTGAACTGCTCTTGACATTGTGCTCTTCACAATTAGAATCTGCCAGAAAAACAGTTTGGAAACTGTCATGAAGACCGTACCTTAGAGAAGGGGACTACAAAATGACAGCTGATGACAGGGGATCATTCCAGGCCAACTGGGGCCAGGCCAAAGGAAGGCTACAGCAGAGGAGGCATGGGTGGTGTAGGCAGCCTGGGCAGTGGTGGCTCCAGATGAGCCCATCTCCAATAGGGCTCTGGATCAAGCATGACATGATAAGGCCCATCCAAGATTATTCCTACCCTGTGGCCCAGGGGGACAGGGCCGCTGCCATGTTATTTCTGAATATTAATTAATGCCCCCTGACAGCTCTTCTACTTTTACTTTTAGTTTTTTTAACCACCTCTTTTTAAAGCAAAACTTCAGTCAGAGGTTTTACAAAGGGAACAGTTTAGTATATTGAGCAATTAATATCATAAGAAAAACAACCCACAACACATAACTCTGTGCTATTGACATTTTAAACTCTACCCAGAGAAGCTATTTCCTTATTGGTAATCTATTTCAGGAAAGTTAATGCTGTATCCCC